CCCTCTGTCTAACGGTTGTCAATAACACAAGAATATACAACGCGCAAATAAATGTGCGCAACAATATCTACCCTCCACTAACTTACTCAATTCGGTGGCTTGATCACTCGACTCTTGACCACTACTCGATGTCTGATTAGTTCTTGTTGGTGTTGGTGTTGGTGTCGCTTTTGTTGCTGTTGTTGTTGACACGACCGACTGGTTTGTTGAAGCCAGATTTGATGAGTCTGGAAGTGGAGAGGTAGGGGAAGAAGAAGAAGAAGAAGTGGAATCAGATAATTGAATATAGAATGATTTTTTGGTGAATCTGTCCTACACATTTCAATGATAGACACACACACACACACACAATTGCACTTTTGAATCTGAATGTGCAGTTGATTGGGTTTTCGGTGTCTGTGCATAGTACAGTTCACTACCGACTGATGGTATGCTTCGTTGATTTCCGTTTATACAGCAGTGTTGAACGCCTCACCTACTGGTGATGTACATTCTGTAGGATTTATGCGGTATTCATCCCACCCTCCAACAATCTCGGCGTCAGACCAGTTGATTTGATTTGAACACATTAACATAAACTGTGTGCAACATCAACTGCCCTATCCGCTCGTCCGTTCTGCCATCCATTCTTTTGTGGACTCATAGTAATCTTTCAGTTTCGGCGAATGCTGTGTATTTTGTGAAAATCGGTTGCTCATATATCTCTCGTGAGCATTTGAGAACTTGTTCAAAATATCATGGCTAAAATGTGCGAATGACACCTGATCACTGTGACAATAAGGTAGCACACTCTCACCGAACTTACTGAGAATCTACTGACTATTATCGTATCTGACACAGAATAACGTGGCATTATTCTACACACTGACAATCATACCGTCTACGGATTACATTCTACTTTCCATGGATTGTCATTTTTGGGGACTGGCACAGGCTAAGTGATTTCATCGGCGAACATAGGATGCAAACTTCACCAAACACTTCCCTCTGTCTAACGGTTGTCAATAACACAAGAATATACAACGCGCAAATAAATGTGCGCAACAATATCTACCCTCCACTAACTTACTCAATTCGGTGGCTTGATCACTCGACTCTTGACCACTACTCGATGTCTGATTAGTTCTTGTTGGTGTTGGTGTTGGTGTCGCTTTTGTTGCTGTTGTTGTTGACACGACCGACTGGTTTGTTGAAGCCAGATTTGATGAGTCTGGAAGTGGAGAGGTAGGGGAAGAAGAAGAAGAAGTGGAATCAGATAATTGAATATAGAATGATTTTGTGCTGAATCTGTCCTACACCTTTCAATGATAGACACACACACACACACACAATTGCACTTTTGAATCTGAATGTGCAGTTGATTGGGTTTTCGGTGTCTGTGCATAGTACAGTTCACTACCGACTGATGGTATGCTTCGTTGATTTCCGTTTATACAGCAGTGTTGAACGCCTCACCTACTGGTGATGTACATTCTGTAGGATTTATGCGGTATTCATCCCACCCTCCAACAATCTCGGCGTCAGACCAGTTGATTTGATTTGAACACATTAACATAAACTGTGTGCAACATCAACTGCCCTATCCGCTCGTCCGTTCTGCCATCCATTCTTTTGTGGACTCATAGTAATCTTTCAGTTTCGGCGAATGCTGTGTATTTTGTGAAAATCGGTTGCTCATATATCTCTCGTGAGCATTTGAGAACTTGTTCAAAATATCATGGCTAAAATGTGCGAATGACACCTGATCACTGTGACAATAAGGTAGCACACTCTCACCGAACTTACTGAGAATCTACTGACTATTATCGTATCTGACACAGAATAACGTGGCATTATTCTACACACTGACAATCACACCGTCTACGGATTACATTCTACTTTCCATGGATTGTCATTTTTGGGGACTGGCACAGGCTAAGTGATTTCATCGGCGAACATAGGATGCAAACTTCACCAAACACTTCCCTCTGTCTAACGGTTGTCAATAACACAAGAATATACAACGCGCAAATAAATGTGCGCAACAATATCTACCCTCCACTAACTTACTCAATTCGGTGGCTTGATCACTCGACTCTTGACCACTACTCGATGTCTGATTAGTTCTTGTTGGTGTTGGTGTTGGTGTCGCTTTTGTTGCTGTTGTTGTTGACACGACCGACTGGTTTGTTGAAGCCAGATTTGATGAGTCTGGAAGTGGAGAGGTAGGGGAAGAAGAAGAAGAAGAAGTGGAATCAGATAATTGAATATAGAATGATTTTGTGCTGAATCTGTCCTACACCTTTCAATGATAGACACACACACACACACACAATTGCACTTTTGAATCTGAATGTGCAGTTGATTGGGTTTTCGGTGTCTGTGCATAGTACAGTTCACTACCGACTGATGGTATGCTTCGTTGATTTCCGTTTATACAGCAGTGTTGAACGCCTCACCTACTGGTGATGTACATTCTGTAGGATTTATGCGGTATTCATCCCACCCTCCAACAATCTCGGCGTCAGACCAGTTGATTTGATTTGAACACATTAACATAAACTGTGTGCAACATCAACTGCCCTATCCGCTCGTCCGTTCTGCCATCCATTCTTTTGTGGACTCATAGTAATCTTTCAGTTTCGGCGAATGCTGTGTATTTTGTGAAAATCGGTTGCTCATATATCTCTCGTGAGCATTTGAGAACTTGTTCAAAATATCATGGCTAAAATGTGCGAATGACACCTGATCACTGTGACAATAAGGTAGCACACTCTCACCGAACTTACTGAGAATCTACTGACTATTATCGTATCTGACACAGAATAACGTGGCATTATTCTACACACTGACAATCACACCGTCTACGGATTACATTCTACTTTCCATGGATTGTCATTTTTGGGGACTGGCACAGGCTAAGTGATTTCATCGGCGAACATAGGATGCAAACTTCACCAAACACTTCCCTCTGTCTAACGGTTGTCAATAACACAAGAATATACAACGCGCAAATAAATGTGCGCAACAATATCTACCCTCCACTAACTTACTCAATTCGGTGGCTTGATCACTCGACTCTTGACCACTACTCGATGTCTGATTAGTTCTTGTTGGTGTTGGTGTTGGTGTCGCTTTTGTTGCTGTTGTTGTTGACACGACCGACTGGTTTGTTGAAGCCAGATTTGATGAGTCTGGAAGTGGAGAGGTAGGGGAAGAAGAAGAAGAAGAAGTGGAATCAGATAATTGAATATAGAATGATTTTGTGCTGAATCTGTCCTACACCTTTCAATGATAGACACACACACACACACACACAATTGCACTTTTGAATCTGAATGTGCAGTTGATTGGGTTTTCGGTGTCTGTGCATAGTACAGTTCACTACCGACTGATGGTATGCTTCGTTGATTTCCGTTTATACAGCAGTGTTGAACGCCTCACCTACTGGTGATGTACATTCTGTAGGATTTATGCGGTATTCATCCCACCCTCCAACAATCTCGGCGTCAGACCAGTTGATTTGATTTGAACACATTAACATAAACTGTGTGCAACATCAACTGCCCTATCCGCTCGTCCGTTCTGCCATCCATTCTTTTGTGGACTCATAGTAATCTTTCAGTTTCGGCGAATGCTGTGTATTTTGTGAAAATCGGTTGCTCATATATCTCTCGTGAGCATTTGAGAACTTGTTCAAAATATCATGGCTAAAATGTGCGAATGACACCTGATCACTGTGACAATAAGGTAGCACACTCTCACCGAACTTACTGAGAATCTACTGACTATTATCGTATCTGACACAGAATAACGTGGCATTATTCTACACACTGACAATCATACCGTCTACGGATTACATTCTACTTTCCATGGATTGTCATTTTTGGGGACTGGCACAGGCTAAGTGATTTCATCGGCGAACATAGGATGCAAACTTCACCAAACACTTCCCTCTGTCTAACGGTTGTCAATAACACAAGAATATACAACGCGCAAATAAATGTGCGCAACAATATCTACCCTCCACTAACTTACTCAATTCGGTGGCTTGATCACTCGACTCTTGACCACTACTCGATGTCTGATTAGTTCTTGTTGGTGTTGGTGTTGGTGTCGCTTTTGTTGCTGTTGTTGTTGACACGACCGACTGGTTTGTTGAAGCCAGATTTGATGAGTCTGGAAGTGGAGAGGTAGGGGAAGAAGAAGAAGAAGAAGTGGAATCAGATAATTGAATATAGAATGATTTTGTGCTGAATCTGTCCTACACCTTTCAATGATAGACACACACACACACACACAATTGCACTTTTGAATCTGAATGTGCAGTTGATTGGGTTTTCGGTGTCTGTGCATAGTACAGTTCACTACCGACTGATGGTATGCTTCGTTGATTTCCGTTTATACAGCAGTGTTGAACGCCTCACCTACTGGTGATGTACATTCTGTAGGATTTATGCGGTATTCATCCCACCCTCCAACAATCTCGGCGTCAGACCAGTTGATTTGATTTGAACACATTAACATAAACTGTGTGCAACATCAACTGCCCTATCCGCTCGTCCGTTCTGCCATCCATTCTTTTGTGGACTCATAGTAATCTTTCAGTTTCGGCGAATGCTGTGTATTTTGTGAAAATCGGTTGCTCATATATCTCTCGTGAGCATTTGAGAACTTGTTCAAAATATCATGGCTAAAATGTGCGAATGACACCTGATCACTGTGACAATAAGGTAGCACACTCTCACCGAACTTACTGAGAATCTACTGACTATTATCGTATCTGACACAGAATAACGTGGCATTATTCTACACACTGACAATCATACCGTCTACGGATTACATTCTACTTTCCATGGATTGTCATTTTTGGGGACTGGCACAGGCTAAGTGATTTCATCGGCGAACATAGGATGCAAACTTCACCAAACACTTCCCTCTGTCTAACGGTTGTCAATAACACAAGAATATACAACGCGCAAATAAATGTGCGCAACAATATCTACCCTCCACTAACTTACTCAATTCGGTGGCTTGATCACTCGACTCTTGACCACTACTCGATGTCTGATTAGTTCTTGTTGGTGTTGGTGTTGGTGTCGCTTTTGTTGCTGTTGTTGTTGACACGACCGACTGGTTTGTTGAAGCCAGATTTGATGAGTCTGGAAGTGGAGAGGTAGGGGAAGAAGAAGAAGAAGAAGTGGAATCAGATAATTGAATATAGAATGATTTTTTAGTTTATCTGTTCCATGTATTTTAATGTGCATACGCAATGGATTCTCTCATCGCTCTTTGTAAATCTCATTTATTTGGAATTCACTTTCTCAATATTTCTTGGTACCTGTCTTGTAGTTGCTATGCCGAAATTAGTGTGATTAATCTCCCCGCCTTTCAGTGATGTTCATGCTATTTTTTGCTTTTTTTATGCATCCCCACCTCATATCTTCCTTCCCCATTCGTTTAATGTCTCTGACCACTCTTACTGGTATATAAATATCTGCGGATAACTGATCTTTTTGACACAGAATTTTTTGGTATTGAAATCCTACACTAAAATATTGTAACGGAGATAGGGAAACCGGTAATTTCTTCATTACTTGTCAAGCTATCTACCAGATGTGCTCCGGCATTTCCTTAACCTCCTAAATCTGTTACACTTCATTGATTGTTCACTGTCGTATTCATGTATTTTACTTTTGATGTTTTTCTTGATTTAGTTCTAATTTCATCAAAATTGTGATAACAACACAATCTTTGTGCGTTTGAATAATTCACTGGACATTATCATATATTTATGCAAAGTATGCCTGATACTTTTTTCCGGATCTTATCACACACACACAAATATATACCAGTGAAAATGTAATGCAAAGTATAAAACATCAAAGATTTGTAGAAAATAACAAACTAAAATAAAAATGGAGTATATATATATATATATATATATATAGAGAGAGAGAGAGAGTATGATATATATATATATGCATGTTGACTCATTATCTAATTTGTAATTCAATCACTCTCATCATTATCATCATCATTAGCATACTTTGTGGATGTGAGCATTAAATCAATTTTTGACTTTCATTTAGTTTAGTTTATTCAAATATCGTACATATATACTTGTTTAAAAAAAGTAAATATTTTCTTCCTTGTGTGTGTGTTGCAGGGGTGGAGGGTGACTGCTCATGCGCGCAGGTGAACAACAGGAAGTAGACAGAAACGTAAAACATGGATACTATTTAAATTTTGTATTTATCTTAACCAAAATATTTATCCAACTTATAGTACTATATCAGATTACATGACTGCCTTGTATTTTGTTCCCTATAATAACCTATACAAAAATATCTAAATGTGTAGATTTATTGGTGTCTATGAATCGTCTTAATAGAGTTGAATTAAATAGACAATTTGTAAGTGTTTAGAATGAGTAAAAAACAAATTATTTATATTTATGAGTATTGATTCATTTCAAGTTTCATCACATATTGACTTAAGCTAGAGAAGCAGTAAAAACCATGAACTATTGGGTAGCTGAAGAGTCCCGAATTAGGAAGAAACAGTTTTCCATCAGTTCCTGGTTTTCGATGGTTCTCTGACTAAAGTTATTTAGTGAACAGACTGGAAATTACGTAATGAAATGCTACTTAAAATAACCCCAACCTTTTTCGTGAATTTTTTGTTGTGTAAATCACAGCCACTTGAATAGAATTACTCAAATTTTCTCTATTAAATATCAATAGGTGGATAGTCAGACGTTATACAATATAAAGTGGACTTGTTTGAAGGTCGTTTGGTCAAGACTCAGTTAGACTAAACGATCAAACTACTCCAAAAAGTTTCTTAACGTCTGTGAACTAGATATTTATAAAATTAAAAGAAGTGATTCAGCGAAGAGACTCTTTTCAACGAATTTATCATGAAGCTGTACAATCGTATATTTATGGTTTTCAATAAGTTATATCCGGTGAGAGAATTCAATCATAGGTGTGAATGCATAAAATAATAATAATAGTAGTATGGAATGTAATTGAAATATTTGTGATTATAATCATAGTTAAATGTCAAGTGGCAAAATAATTAATGTCATATATAGAATAAATCATGAAAAATTCCCATTTTATCATATAGAAAATCAAAACAAATGATTCAGCGAAGAGACTCTTTTCAACGAATTTATCATCAATTCGTTGAAAAGAGTCTCTTCGCTGAATCATTTTTTTGATTTTCTATATATAGAATAGTTTATAGGATGTATAGTACTTGGAAGGGGTGTGAAATTATAGGATTAGTAGGCAAATCGAATAAAATAAAAACGTTACGTAATACTGTGTGAAATTTGATAACATACAATTTAACGTTGCAAAACAGAATCGATTTAGAATGACAAGTGGAACAAGTGAAATAATACTGGGGACAGTTCAAAATGAGAATAGTAATAGTAACAATTGACTCAATGAAAAAAATGGTAGAGCCATAATATGATTAAGGATTACCATACTTTAGCATAGAAGGATTAAGACCATGAAAGTTGGAGGGGTTGAACGAACTTTTTCTGTACACAGAGATCTGGCTTTTCTGTTTCGATATCCAAAGCTTCAGCAATACATATGAGTCGGGTACGTAGAGATTTGGGTAAATTACTTTTTGTCTTGTAGATGAATTTAAAGGTGGAGGGTGCAGAGATAGGGTAATAATTATCGACCAGAAGTTCAGTGATCGCGCTTCTTACTGCTCCACTTCCACCTCTTTGTAACCATGCAGGACAGTGTTCCTGCACCCTCTTGGACAAAACTCAAGTCGGACGACTGATATACCTAGCTCCACATGAGCAGGTGAATTGATAAACGCGCGTAGAGTTGGTCAACAGCAGGATCTTGTCCTTCAGGTCATTGAACAGTACTGGTCGACTGGTAAAGGCTATTCTCAAAGATGCAGTAGGGAATGTTTTTTTCAGAGACTGTGATATCCTTCTTTTCATGATATCGGAAGCTAAGTCACTTTTGAATTTCAAACTCATAGACAGTATTTTCTTGGTTACGGATGATGTCACATTTCATGGGATATGACTGTATATTCTTGTCTATGAAATGTGGTGGAAATCCGTTTTTTGTTAGGATTTTTCTTAGAGGATTAAATTTCTTTCTCCACAGTATCAGGACTACATATGCGCTGAATGCGAGTGGCAAGTGACCGAATCAGGTTTCGTTTTCGACCAATGGGTACCGAGCTGTAGAAATTTGTCGGTTGACCATCCCATGACAGCTTTCGATAAATCGATCTCTTCAGAGTTCCATTGGCCCTCCTTGGTAAGTTCACATTGAAGAAATTAATACTAGACTCGTTCCCCATTTCGAGTGTCAATTTTATCGCTGGATGGCAACCATAATTTCTTAAAAAACATATATACATACGATTGTACAGCTTGGTAATAAATTCGTTGAAAATAGTCTCTTTGTTGAATAACTTGTTTTGATTTTGTATATGTTACAATGGGAATTTTCCATGAATTTATAAAAATTGTTTATTTTAGCAAAATTAATGTGAAAATGATATTGCGTGAAGATAAACTAAAGCAACCACCAAATAATCTTGAACAGACAGTTCCAATGGGGTACTGTAAAAGCCCTTGATTTTGCTGACAAATTGTACATCTAAATGTTTAGGCTGCATAGTAGAACGATTTTGAGTTACCCTAACTTCTAAACTTAATATAAGCCTGAAGTCTAATGTAAATTTTAACCTTAACGCTTAAATCTAGTCTCACTTTAATGCTAATCTAACCGTTAATTTTAACCCTGGGCACAAGGAGCAGATAAGTCAAATCAGCAGAAGACTCTTGAAGTAAAACTTACACTGCATATACGACTAGTGATATGACTGCTCGCTCAAGGTCATTTGGTGGCTGTTATACCTCATCTTCACCCGATGTTGCCTTCTGTCATCATAATCAAAGACTAAAACTTTGCTTTTAATAACGTCAGTAGGTACAAAACTAAATATGCTGATGTTCAGCCTTCATAAATAATACCTTGCAACCCTTCGAATGAAACTGAATCTATGCCTTTCCATTTATCACAGAAATTTAGCGGCGGTGTGCCAGAAATCATTTTTTTGAAATGGATCATTTCTTTTTCTTAAACCATTCTACATCAGGTAAATGTGTTGCTGCCACAAAATTCGAATATTATAACACACTATTATCATCATCTATTCATTTAGTTATTCATCCATCTATCTAATCAATCGTGATTCATAATCCTATACACCAATATTATTATAGCACTTTAGTATTTCCACTCACCCTCAAACTTTAACGAACACACACACACACAAGCAAACTGATTGCTGTTGTCTGTTTTAATTCATATATATATATATATATATATATAATAACATATATATGAGATCCAAGTCCGCGTCACAGTGTGGGTGACCAACTAATAGGTAATTTTGTTTTAAAGTATAGTGAATACCTTTAAGCCTGACAAAAAATGCATAACATAAGATCCTTTATAAGTGCATTCAGTTCAATAATTTTCCTATGAAGTATACAACTATCGGGCATAAGTATGTTTACGCCACCTCCGTAATTTTTCATTTTTATCATTTAGTCTTTTAAGAAACCTTATCACTATCTAATTTGCATTAGCACGTCATTCACCAAAATAAAAGAAACTCACTAAAACTGTGAAAACCTTTAGCACTATGGATTGAGTAAAATTGTCCAGAAAGTTATTTGTTCAGAATGTGTATTAATTTTGGTAATATTTCTAGCAGCGTCACTGTCTTGAATTACATCATTCATGTGGTTAACAACTATTCTGAGTCACAGTTGTACCTCTGTAACATTCTGAGCAAACGAACTTAGTCTGTTGCCATCTCAAAGACATGACTCTCCATAAAGGCAACAGTCAGCTGTAGCCATACATACATTTCCTCTCCATAACAAGTGATTTTCAAAGGCGATGACGAGTTCATCTAAACTAAAAGAAGCTAGTGTTTACACTGCAAAAAGACCTTATATTTTACTGTCACTCATTTAAGTAAGAATCGCCAAGCATAGCCCATAACTGACAATAATATTTGCCTTAAGGTTCTGTGAGAGGTTGATAACATCATGTGGAACCAGTTGAACCTCTAAGCAAATAAGCGATGATGTTTACCTTCGGAGTAACTTAACTTGCTACGGGAACAACATATAGTTAATGTAGTCACACATGAAGATCAAATGGCGAAAGAGAATTAGCAACAAGGAACTCTGGCAACAAACTAAACAGGAGGTGACTTCTCAACAAATACGCAGAACAAAATGGAGATTGTCAAATGACTTAGCTCATCAGGCCATCGTTCGAGTGAAACCTGAATGGAAAACGACGAGTGAGTCCTCTTAGGGTTATATGGAGCAGATAGTGCAAGGAGAAGATGAGAGATATTGGGCAATCATTGACACAGCTGAAGAGGGGAGCAGAAAATAGAACGAAGTGGAGATGTGTTGTTGAAGCCCTATGTTCTACTTGGAACTCAAGGGAGCAATAATCATAGTATTTTCCTGTATTTCAAGACTGCTAAATGATACAACCAAAAGAATGTCTCCTCTCACGTAAACCAAACATGCTTTATTAAGCACCTCAAAACCGCTTGAACCATTAGTAGTAGCAACTAAACTGTTGCCATCGTCTACGTTAAAGAGACTGTTGCCGTTTGGCTTTATGTCACCAGCAGTTATTACGGTATGTAAAACTGGAAGAATAGTCTAAAAGCCAGAACAGAAGGTTAAAAGGTTCTTATACAATTCTGAAAGGAAGTGATTCAGAACTTTGACTCAAGGATGAAACTAGTCGAATAATGGAATATATGGGATTTTGAGCATAGTAAAAGTGGAACATCTTGTTATTGTTTTGCAAACTGTGAAAGTAAATTAGATAAGTAGTACACCTGATAATAAATGCATTGCAAAAATTTTAAACCTATAAGCCTTAAGATGTTACTGCAAGTAAAATTAAGAGTATAGTGTGACAATGATTTAAGTTTTTGTTCTAATTGATATACGTCAAGATAAGCCCGAACACCACTTTTTGCCCCTTTCTTTTGCCACAAACAAGCATATTATCTGAGTCTGAAGCTCAGCCGTGCCAAGTAGATAAGTTCCGAACCCCTTTTTCTGAATTATATTAATATTTTGTGTTATATAAATATACCACTCATCAGATCACATTATTTAAGTGGGTTTCTGATTTGTATTTGGTTGTCAGTAATTACAAGTTAGTTAGAGTAGTGATTTATTGTGTAACTAAGCAGGCTACGTTTGGTAGGGCTGGTATAGTATAACTTGTCAGTAGCACTTTCAATAACTTACAAGAGTATAAAGCATACAAGGTTTCTTCATTTCTTGTCGTTGACAATAATGATCATATATGTGTTAATTAAACATTGTCTTTAGCCACATAGGTATGAGAAACTCCTCTCACCAATATCCTTAGGATACTAAAATAACAGTGATTGGATTACATTATAAAAATTACTGAACGTCGTTCACAGAGGTGTAGATTAATTCACTTCGTGGCATCTGTAGGCTTTGAACATCTCCAAATGGGACGTTCAGATTGTTATCAGTTGGGCAAATGCGTCTACCTCTTAGGATTTTCTACATTCTGAAAAGCTTTATCACTCCTCATCCGAATATTCTGCTTGTCGCAAATATGGCTATTATTAGCACTGTCGTTCCATTTCTACTCCACTACTTTGTGTTCATTTTCGAAATTTCAAAACTCGAACTGACGCACTTCAGGGTGAAGTCTTGTGTTAATCCATCAGTCAAAGGTGTCGTAACATTTGTGCTGCTATAACGAGCTATGATTAATACACTTGCTTAAAGTAGGATCAGCTTTGAAGCTCAATAACATTCCTTATGAGTTTGGTTTCAAGAAATCCCCCTGATACTGAAAACAGCTGATATGATAGCCAAAGACCTTTTTCAAGATAACATGGGTATATATAGGAATACTTTCACAGGTTATATGTGCGCTCAGCGAATATGGCTAAAATAAGCCATAATGTCCAGCATCACCATCTGTAACAACCTGTTGTCAAACTTCGCCATAACTTAGGCACCACAACATTTGTCGCTTGGTCATGCCGCAAAAATTCAAAATTCTATAAGTCAGCTGGTTCACCGACTGTGCAGCTGTGATTTGTACTAGCTTCGAAATTCTCACACAATAACTAAACACCTGTCTGTAAAGTGAACGTAACCTGCTGAAAGAAATTCAGAAAGCAACCCACTAAATAATAATAACCCAGTCGGAAATGCATAAGGGCAAAGTGAGCGAAATGTGGGACAAAAGGAGAGTTTTTATAGGCAAAGACGCGGGCGAAAAACGAGAAGAATGCAACATAATTCACGCACTTTGCCCATGTCACCCGCCTTTCTCGCTTTGCCCACTATCGGATGGAAAACTGTCCACATTTTTATCCACATATCCCATATCTGAAAAAATATTCCCTGATTAAAACACCATGATTTATTCACTTCCCAGCTAACATTGACTTCGGACGCAGTGCAAAAGCTTTCAGGCAGACTGCAGCTAACTGTCTCACTTCCTGCAATGAGCCTAAAGTGTTTGGCCCCGAAATTTTTGCAGTGTGCCCGAAGAAAATGCTAGTTGAGTTTAAACTAGTTTAACTCCTCAGCTGAGGAGTTTCAAAACTTCAACTTCCTTTATAAGTAATTTTATGTACTAAACATAGCATAAACTTAGGCTTCAGAGGCTTAAGACCAAAATTTGTGATAATAATTATTATTATACGTATAAGGTACTTACTTGAAATGCCATCAACTATTTGTAAACTTGACGCTACTTCAGCAGTCGCTAATTCTGTTATAACAGAGTTTTCAAGCTGCTGACAGTATATCGCTGATGTGATAATCTGATACAGCAATACTGCTCTGACATTTGCATAGTCTTTAATATGTAAATTAACCAGATTACTCTTACCACAATAAAAACTGTAAACCAATAGAAATAAATGCATTAGCCAGTAAAATGGCATTTCTGTAAAATTGAAAACAGCAGATCCTGCGTCGATAAACCAACAATTTGATCTGTTATTAAAATTCCGTTGTGAAATATATTTTCATACATTATCACATTAATTAGAACATACACTATAGGCACGCGCATGTAATTCAAGTCAAATGTGAAGTTACATCACGACAGTCTTGTCTGTTTTGTGGTCTGACGTTTAAAACTTAGCAAATAGTTTATGAACTAGCGCGTCACAAAATTAGCCGCGATAGCAAAATATGGACCTTCAAAAATGCGGGAACCTTGAAAACAATATCCAATATTGTTTTACGAGCTAGTGTAAACCAATTTGGGCTGAACTTATATGTCACCTTGTGTTGAAACTTCACTTAAAAAATTTTTTGTCAGTAAGTTTTAATAAAATTGTGTTATATGTTATCTGGATTGATGGGAATCCTCATTCCCTGGCTAGTTATGTTGGTGTCCGCGTCATCCAATATCCAATATAATGATTACGAGCTAGTATAAACCAGTGATTTCTTTGAGCTCGCTTCTTGATTGTAAGGTAGAGGTTCCAGATCTTCGGTGAACTTATGCGTAGTAAATCCCGCCACTCGACTGCTTTAGCTCTGGTAGACTCCAAGAGGAGTGGTGCGAGGATTGGTCAAGATTGTGGTTTGTAGTGTGCAGTATGTTAAGACTCAGCTGCTGCCGTGAATGGAGTTTGACCTAACACCCGTTGGTCATTCGGTGTAGTCATAAAAGTAGAATAGTAATAATAATAATAGGTTGTAGTGTAGATAATATAGGTTGAGATAAGTGAAATAATAAAGGTGACCAAAGAAAAGATAGAGTAGTCGGTACAGTGAGAGAAGACAGAATGGGTCGTGGGATTTAGTTTGTATGCTTATCCACTAACCGTGGGGTGATCTGACTGTGACACACTCTTAACATATTGGTCGCAATGATCAGTGTTTCAGGCGGACTGTGTCAAAATAGCGCTGTAGTGAGCAAGATAAGATAGTTGGAGGGTAATGTCATCTACACAAATCGTTTACTCCATTTAGAAGCTTCACCTTTTGGCACAGAATCATTCAATGTAGACTCCGCGTCTCAGGATATTAATGCAGCCAATTATCGTGCGAAGAACAGTACTAATTGACGAAAGAATGCTATCAGTACATGGAAATCACCTATAAATGCTAACAAAACAATCTGTGGGAATTCTAAGTTATCATGTAGATGTGTCTTTCACATTATCTGTGTTTGAACAGGGACTATCGTAAGTTGAAAGGTTATCTCTAAGTGGATTTAATATATATTTACACTAATTGGTGCTGTGTAATATGGGTTATGTGGATTCAATGTGTAAAAAAATCAACCTCATTAATATTGTGCTCTTGCCTGCTTAGCTGACTGCTAGGCTAACAAATGCGGGTTGTTCTCGTGATTATTGCAAGTGCAGTGCACTGGAGAAGGCAGTCACTCGTTCAGTTTTCGTCACTGTTTCCCTTAGTTGATTAATTCAGTGCAAAGTATTATTGTACACATGGGTTGTGTTAATTATGAGAATTGAATCTAGTCAGCTCTACAAATATCAATCTATTGTCTGTTATACCATTCTCACTGACACTGTAAACTTCCCACCCAATCAGTGAATCATTTTCAAACATAGGATATGTGGGTAAAAACGTCCCGTTCAAATTTGGGCAAAGTGGAAAAATGTGGGCAAAATATTCGTTGAAAGGGTGGGTAAACTGAGAAAAAGTCGTGCAAAAAAACTTTCGAGATATCAGCAAACGCGGAAAAAGAGGGCAATATGGGTAAATTGGGTAAATTATGCAGCATTAACATCATCTTTGCCCACCTCTTTACCGATTAAAATTACCCAATAAAGCCACGCCTTGGCCATATTGCCTAGATGAATTCCCCGACTGGGTTAATGCTGCAATGTTTTTGATCACCAGTAGTGAATATGAATTCCCCCACAAATTTCCATTAACATGAGGCAGTGCTGATGCAGTGTCACGATTGAATGTCTAGGTTGCATTATATGGCATTGTTATCCTCATCAACACAACAGGTCTGTATATCTTGCAATATTTTAAGTATCTCTCTATTCTGATAGCACTCTGCATAACTGTTTAGAGTTGAGACCTACGTACTTTATATTTGATGGCTATAGTTTACTAAATATGAGAATGTAATTTCTGTAGGACTCACAAAAGTGTGTTCACTAGACATTGCTGAGATTGTTGATTCATTTCTAAGTTACATATTTGCAATAATTCCTTTAATGTAAACGTATTTAGTGTGAAGTTGATCTGCAAGTAAGCTTGATGAGAGAATGACGCCTCAACAGTATGGATGTTTCAGAGATTATTTTCACATTTGTGTATAGTGCTCTGAGAATTCCATTCTGTATTATAAGTACTGTTTTTGGAATGAAGTAAATTATCATTATTAATACTGGAAAACATATGAGGTCTATTCATGCATACTGCGTCAATATAAAAACCTACTGTGGACTACAAATACATTTATTTGCATCAGATATTACTTAGTATCAACGAAATCAGTGTATTCATAGTGTATGCTAATATGTAGACTTATCTTTTATAGCTTCATGTTGTGCTAGTCCTTACATGTGCGAAAATGTCGGCTAGTCAAACTAACGCTAATACCCCTCATAAAAATTTCCTTTTATAAATAAATAAAATGTTTAAAATACTCTTGATTTCCGCTTCTTCTGGACTTCCTCAGTGCGTCGCTATACTATGAGCTTTTGTAATACGCGAATCCAGATCAATGAATGTTAAGCTTAGTCAGTGGGATGGAGATTTACTACAGTATTATGAGACTGTTACTTTAGTCATTCATAAGATTTCGCCTCTGTTTTATGCAATAACACATTCTAAAGACTGAGTAGGACTGAGAAAGTTGAATAGTAATTCTGTAATGTTTGATCCGCTCAAGTTACTTCATCTAACCAGCTGCAAGTCTTCATACTGTTAAACGTCAAGTCTGTGGTACAAGTATCGTGAGTTGGGGTACAAAGAATCAGTAGCAGCTTAATGGTTTTTATATACTCATTGAATTCCTTCACGGAGTTTCCCAGAGGAATAAGGTTCAATTTATTTCGATCAGCAGTTCAGTATATCTCTGGTAGAAGAAAGGCACAAGGACTTCCGAAAAATTGATGGCACTACGTGGTACGTGCAGTGAAGTACGCATCAACTTAGCTAAGAGACCTAAGCCATTCTTAAGTATAAAAACCGTTAGGCCACAACCAGAGTACTGTCCATTTATTATTAGCAGCACTCACGCACGTGACAAGCTTAGAATAGAAAGTATCCAACTATATTTTACCTCAAAACTACTTGGCTACGAATGTAAGAAAGACTACATCTCACGGTGCATGATTCTAAAACTTGACCCACTCTGGACAAGCCGACTAATTATAAACCTAGTATTCTTCTATAAGGTCCTACACAAAATATCATTCTCAGACAGTAAGGACATACAATTCGCACAAGAAGGCTCTTACGATCTGCGTAACCAAACTTGCACAGTGACAATAAAAGCCTTTAAGTCAGCACTCCGCGAAAACTTCTTCACAGTCATGTATTCAAATATATGGAACAGCCTGCCCCTAGAAGTCAGGAACTGCAATACGGTTATAAGTTTCAAGCGCTCTCTGTACATACTGCTTCACTCCATTGATTATATAAGTAAACTATTTATTCCTAGAACGAATCAACTATTAGTCTACTACAGTACCTAAACGCGCTTAAATACATTTACTAATCTAAAAACTATAAATAAACTAGACGCATAGATGCATAAAAAGACTTAGTAGGAATAAATATTTGTTCACCAAGTTACAATGTACAACGAATACAAACATATATGTCCTACTCCACATACTTTCTCTCTGCCCTCTGATACTTTTCTGCCCTCCTCTTCTGTTGTATTTGCCTTGTAGTAGAAGTTGCATTGATCTACATCCAAACTGAAGTTGAGAAACAATTGAAATCACTTACTCATATATCATCCCTCAAGGTTTGGCTAGTAATCGCTCAGCATCCTTGATGAAATCCACTGTCACCATAACAAGACGCTGTACAGCATCTTATAAAAGCACTGTCAGTGATCTTAAATGGCTTACATATAGCTTTCTACGTGTTAACCAACTTAATCGTACGGAATAACTATGTAGTGACAAATGGTGGGCTCTAGGTGACTTGGGTGCAGTAAAACAAGTCTGCTTGTCAATGACCAATATTAATCTGCATTCAGTTGAATTCACATCTGGTACTACTTAAGATAAAAATGATGTCAAAATCGTGCAAATAAATCACTCATTTTAAATTAATACCCAATTTGGACATAAAACAAGAACAAGATACGATGCCGCACACAACAAAGTTATATGGAGGAATAGACTTCAAGCTGCATTTTTTCCCAAATATTTGTAATTTATCCGACACATACTTGGGTTTGTTTTTGTTAATGTGAAGACAATGTTTTTATATTTCTTTATGTGCTCCATTGAACGACTAGCTATCAGACTGTACTCACTAACTAACGTCAGAGAGGACAACAACCATGTAATTTCACTATAAATCAAATTCATGTAATGTAAATAATACTTATCCATGCCTGCACAACTGGTGTTCTAGATAGATAGGAAATACATATACAGAAATTACACCTGAAACTTTTGCAAAATTTCGAGACAGCTGGACTTACTACACAGATTTAATATGTAAGCAATGGTTGAATTTAATGCACCGGCTAGAAAGATCAGGTTTCCCAAGCGGACAACTCACAAAATATTTATTTTATGGCTGGAGAGAAAAACGCAATTCATCTACATAACCTTGGTGAAGCAGCGGGCTGAATGATAAGATGTGAAGCAATAATAAAGCATAATGGGTAAAGTTTATTTTGATATATGAAATGGTTGTGGAGGAAATGAGTTTTGTAGAAGGGATTGGGGATGGAATAACAGTGGAGGAGTTCCACCGTACATGAATAGCGGGATCCAATCAGGTTAACGTACCAATGTAAAGCCGATGGAACTCCCAGAGTCACTCAAGTGTTTCATGACTGCAAACAATAGAGGGCTACTGCTTCCAGAAGAACACCGATGCACGAAGTGAGTGGTAAAATGCAAACAACAAGTAACTGTAATAATCTGTAAGATTAGCACTGTGAAAGTCATTCACTTCTTTATCGCTAGTGACTTCGACAGACCGTCACTCAACACTTTTGGGAAATTAGACGGAGAAAATGTCGATATATGGCTTGA